CCAGGATGAAGGAAGAGAAGATCTTGGTGAGTCGCGACGGGCCGGAGGAGAACGTGATCAAGTTCAAGCCTCCGATGTGCTTCACTGTGGACAACACGCGCACCCTCGTCTCTACGCTAGACCGCGTCCTCGCTGAACTGGCCAACGGGTCGAAGCCAGGTGCTAACGGCACCACGGCTCCTGGCTCCAAGGTCACAGGGGTCAAGGACAGACCTGTGGGGAGCAAAGACGATGATGATGAGTTGTGTGGGGAGCCAGAGGCGAAGAAAAGCCGGGTGAAAGTGAAGGTCGCGGATTCTCCGAGTGGGGAGCAGGTGGGAGGGACGGGCTCCTCTCCTCTCAAAGTGGTGGGATAAACTGGGGGGATAAACTGGGGGGATAGAGGGTGGGATAAGTTGGGGGATAGAGGGGGGATAAACGGGGGGATAGAGGATGGGATAAACTGGGGGGATAGAGAGTGGGATAAACTGGGGGGATAAACCGGGGGGATAAGTTGGGGGATAAACGGGGGGATAGAGGATGGGATAAACTGGGGCGATAGAGGGTGGGATAAACGGGGGGATAAGTTGGGGGATAAACTGGGGGGATAGAGGATGGGATAAACTGGGGGGATAAACCGGGGGGATAGAGGGTGGGATAAACTGGGGGGATAAACCGGGGGGATAAGTTGGGGGATAGAGGGGGGGGATAAACCGGGGGGATAAATTTGGGGATAGAGGGTGGGATAAACTGGGGGATAGAAGGTGAGATAACTGGGAGTTTTGGAGCAAGTTTTTTGTTTGCATTGAGTCAAATCTTTCCTTGCTTTAGAACGAATGCTTTGTTTGTGGTGTCTGATGGGATGACTTGTTTCCCACTGTGTGGGGTAGTTGGGGATGTCCCATTGTGTGGGATAGTTGGGGATGTCCCATTGTGTGGGGTAGTTGGGAATGTCCCACTGTGTGGGGTAGTTGGGAATGTCCCATTGTGTGGGGTAGTTGGGAATGTCCCATTGTATGGGGTAGTTGGGAATGTCCCATTGTGTGGGATAGTTGGGGATGTCCCATTGTGTGGGATAGTT